CTGCGCGGCACGTGGGATCTCCCCGGACCGGGGCACGAATCCGCGTCCCCTGCATCGGCAGGCAGACTCTCAACCACTGCGCTACCAGGGAAGCCCTATGATATGATTTTACCATCACTAAGACGCAATGATAGGGTGACCTTCTTAAGAAGCAGCTGGCTATATTACATTAATATAGTAGCATCAACTATATCAAAACAAAAATCAACATACTTGGCAAGCATCAATCCCACATTTAAATGGACAGTGCTTACATTAGTCAGGGTCCCCATAAGATGGAATACTCTAATTAGATCATTCAAAGGCTTATTTACCAAGGAACCTTTTACAAAGGTGTACGCAGGTTGAAATAAAACCACAAGGAATTGTGGGCAATAATCTGGGGTTGGGAGCTCAGCCACTGTTACCAACCCTAGGTACAAGGAGACAAGGAGGAGGGATTGGCAGAACCTGGAAAAAGAAAGCCATAAAGAGAAGACTGCCTTGAAAAGAGTAGTGGTGTTCCATCTAGGGACCTTGCCAAGGTGTCCCCACAAGGACGGAGTAAGGAGGATAAGTACTCTGACCTCACTCACCCCCCTCCCTTCAGTGTTCTGCCAGGGCTCTCCACGGATCAAATTCAACCAGAGACAGAACAGGGTGCCCACTGACATGGTCCATAAGAGTCAGCCTGTAAAGACCAGGGTGAGTAGATCTGGAGGGGCAACTGGAGGACATCCAGCAGAGTGCTACGTAACCCAACAAACTCATAGAAATATTTGTAAATTTTGTAAGAGCAGAAAATGTCTGCTCTTGTTCACCATTTTATCCCCAGCTGTGTCATACCAACACTAACTTTCCAATTCTCTGACACCGACTGGGTGCCCAATAATTTAATTCAATGTGACATTAACTACCCAGAGTTAGCACAGACCCCAGAAGGTAAGGGCTCAGTCCCACTTCAGACACCAGCTGCAAATGGGGTCCCCAGACGACCTTCACTTCTGCCCAGCCGACTATACATCTGGAGGTACCCACAACCCCTACTCAAGTTCAGTAATTTGCTAGAACAACTCACAGCTCAGGGAAGCTCTCTACTTTCTCTTACAGTTTTATTATCAAGAGTACAGCTCAGGAACAGCCAAATGGAAGAGATGCATAGGGCAAGGTACAGGAGTAAGTAGGGCACAGAGCTTCCACACTCTTTTCAAGGGCACACCCTCCCAGCACATCAACGTGTTCACCAACCCGGAAGCTTCTAAATTTACTAAATCTTTGGCCATTACTGCTTGAACTCGATCTCCAGTCCCTCTCTCCTTCCCAGAGGTTAGAGGTGGGACTGAAGTTCTACTCCTCTAGTCACATGGTTGGTTCCTCTGGGGACCAGCCCCCATCCTGAAGCTTTCTAAGTATCCGATCTATAGTCACCTCATTAGAATACAAAAGACACTCCTATCACCGGAAATTCCAAGGATTTTAGGTGCCAGGAACCAGGACAAAGACCAAACATATCTTTTTATCATGCCACACCAGCACGTTGTACCACAGTGTCTGGCACGTAACAGACACTCTGTATTTGTTAATGAATGATACAGTCTCCAGTGGGTCACTCTAAAGTTCCTTCTCCTTTCCTTCTTTCCTTTTGAAAGACTGCTAAATTTTTTAAGCCAAAACTATACATGGCTTTAAGCTTCTCCCTCCCCTCTAGTCAGATCATCTAGAGAAGACAAACCCTGACTGGCTTGCAGAATCCTAGGGCATTTCAACACCTCTGATACCCAAAGCAAAGAGAGACTCAAAGGAGAAACAGTCACACAGATTTTTTAGAGAAGGAACCTAAACTACTGATATACAACCTGCCCCAGTCTCCTCAGAGTTGTATCCCTTCTTGTCACCTTCACTACAAACAGATTCTGTAGTCCTAAACAGAAGTAGGAAGCTAGGGCTGGACATTTGCTAGAGGAGGTACGCTATTTTTGCTTATATAATATATTGTACAACATGCCACCAAAAGGACTTTATTATGTTTTGGATAGTTTCCCAATGAGACGAATCCCACCTTATACTTTTATAATCCCAAGGTAACCAGCATTTTACATGTCAGGGAAAACTGGATCTCTACCAGGAGAAAATCTGAAACCAGGGATGAAGAAAATACAGAACATAGTAGAGATATTCTAAATCCATTAACAGGAAAAAAAAAAACCCAAAACCCCACAAAACTGAAAAACAAACAAATCCATTCAAGGCTGATATGCCTTGAAAATACAGTATGAAATTCTACTTTATGTAGCCCATCAAGTTCTCAGGGCAGCACCCTCTCGCCCGCCTGCTTGTAAGCCTCACAAGCATCCTGTTCTAACAAATCACTTCTTATCTATCAAAACAAAAAAATGAGGGTTAGGGGAAGAGCAGTGAAGTTTTCCATCCATCGGCAGACCTAGCTGTCAATGGGATTGGACTGTCGTGAGGCTTCTCTACAGCAACAGCCTCCTAATATTAACAAAATGAGCCAAGCTCTATGACCAAACTCTGAAGCCTCAACCTAAACAGTTATCCAAAGGCTTGATCAGGTCCCTTTGGAGAATATTTTTAGGCTGTTCACACAGCCATGACCCATCTTTCTGGAGAAAGGGGCTCCTGAATTTCCCCAGCTGAGTGTCCTCTCTGGCCAGTGCATCCTCTGTGCACGGGACACCTCCTTTGATCAACAGCATCGTTTCAGGCACTGATCAGAAAAGGCGTCCAAGAACAGATTGTGATCACTTGCAAAAGCTTGCTAGACACACCTGATCGTGGAAAGAAATGCCTAAGGCAGTCGTTCTAAACCCAGTTGATCATTCTAAACGACCTACGGGGAAGGGAAGACGGGCATGGCCAGAGGTCGCTGGAAAGAAAGACAGTGAGAGAGAACTGAGTGGATATCTGGGCCCACGGAAGTGTAGGGAATCACATCTGGAGGTGGGGACCAGGTGTCTTTTTTAAGTCACACCGACCTACCCCCACTATCACCCCATCACACAGTGGAAGAGACACAAAATTTTCCTTTTCATATCTCTAAACGATACACTGGATTGGTTAGACTGGAATTACGTGGGGAACTTTTTCAAAATATACATGTGCAAGACCCTCCTTACCCACCACCCACCTCGCCATCCTGAGAAACCTTACGTGGTGGCACCGTATGAATTTTGCAAGAAAGAGCTCCCTAGGTCTTTTCGACCCTCCCCCTCCTCCCTTCGTCCTGCCCCATCCCCGGTTGAGATCCACTAAACACTAGTTCCCTACTACACTCAATTACTAGAAAGAAATATACTTGGGTCACATATCTTAATTCCCTGCTGACACACCTTAATGGAATTAATATTTAACAATACACACTTGACTTAGATCAGAAATGCCTGATAAAGGTTATCTACTTGAATTTCACATTGTTATACCTTCTGGAAAATCATTTTCAATCATCTGATACATTACTCAACATCCATTACATAAACCTTCACAAAACGCCATGTCTAACAAGAGATGGTCCCCCCCAGCAGAACACGTCTGTGTCTTTCTAACAGACAGTGATAATGAGATATTGCAAAGCATTTGCCCTGATGCCTCAGCTGCTAGAAAACAAGCCTTTAAAAAAAAAAAAAAAAAAGCAATAACTAATACTGGTGAGGATCCTTGGACATGGCTTGTAAGACAGCGCTATCGATAGAACTTTCTGTGATGCCAGAAATGTACTACATCAACACTGTCCGAGTCAACAGCCAATAGGCACATGCGGCTCGTGAACACTTTAAATGTGAATCGTGTGACTGAGGAGTGAATTTTAAATACTATTTAATTTCATCTAATGTAAATTTAAATAGCCGCATGTGGCTAGTGACTATATGGAACGGCATGGTTCTAAGGCCACTTTTCATATTTAAACTTACAGTTAATACGTACACATAAGTAAGATGACCCAAAAATTTGACAGTAGTTTCAACTTAGGTACAAATGTTATGTGTAAATTGTAAGAGTGTCCTCGGCCTTCAGCAATATTATTCAAAAGGATTTGTGCATTTCCAGGGTTGACTATAGAAACTTGGCTGCTCTCAATAAAAAGCAAGCTCAGGTCATCTCTCTGACGCAGGCTGATTTAACCTGACGTGCCTTTTGGCCTGGGCTGTTACTGTTGGAACTGCTGGGACCTGATGGCAGAAGAGCTGACCTTCCTCTGAGCAGGGCCACCATAACCCCTCTGAATGGCAGGGCAGTGACATTTATTCTCCCCTCAGCTAGGGACCCTCCCCTGTTCCAACCTAACCTCGTAAAGGGAGGGCAGGAGGTGGCTTTAGGGCTTTGTTAATTCACACCTGGAGGGTGTGTTCTCTTTCCAGTGAAGGGCCCAGTGGGTTTGCAGGTTTCTCAACCTCGGCACAGGGACATTTTGGGCCCTATAATTCAGTTATGGGGACCGTCCTGTGCATTGGAAGATGTTTAGCAGCATCCCTGGCCTACCCATTAGATGCCAGTAGCATCCCCCCAACTCTCCCAGTAGTGCCAACAAAATATCTCTGCAGACATTGTCAAATATTCACTGGGGGACACAAAATCACGCCTGGTTGAGAGCCACTGATCTAGACAGTAAGTTCCTGGACTATGGGTTTCTTAAGAAAGCAGACCCATCTTAGTCTTTTGTTTACTCTTTAAAATCTCTAGTACCCAGCAGATGCCTGTATGTGACACACACTCAATTAAGCACTGCTTGGATGCATGAATAAAAGGCCAACATTATTTTTTAACTTTTTAAATATCTCCCCCAGTGCCTAGAATAGTGTAAGACTCAATCAACAAATGTTTTCTGGTTTGTTAATAGTGTTATAGGTTTAAAAAAAGTAGGAATTCCTATTAATGACTATTTCTGAGGAAGAGAAATGATGGGAAAAATACATCTTTTTTTGCATCCCTTAATGTACATGGAGCAATTTCCTGGCCTGTTAGGGTCTTTAGTAAACAGAGTAAGTCCCAACACACACACTCACCAGTTCCAAATTAAGTACCATAATTGTCTGTGCATGAGGAACCAGGGCTCCATCACCTCAGTCTCCGTCTTTTCACTGAAGCTGGTTGGGGGGCTGTGGTCAGTAGGACCCCTTCCTCACTGACTGGTGGAGCCAATCATCGCCAGTGCCAGATATGATCCCCAGGAACCCCTGCTGCCAGGTTCCCTGCACGAGAAACACTGATGGCTCAGGTCAGTTGTAAGTCCCTGAACATTCAAGCTGTGTTTGCCAGCACGCGATGCTTTTACCTCATTTGTCACAATCAAACACCAGAAAATAAGCCTCCTGTCTAATTAAAGGCAAACCTTTGCACCTAAAACTTAGCAGATCTTTTACCTCCATGTACACATGGCATGTGGCACAGCACTGCAGAGAGAAATGAAAGGCATTGCCACGAGGTACAGATTTAAACCAATGATACGTTCAGCATAGTCTAGCCTACCCTGTTTACCTAAACAGCTGATGGTATTTTGAGCTTCTTGGACAAGATTCTTTTATTGAATGGGAAATATCACTAAGTTCCATACTGCTGGCTGTACATTTAAAGAACTGCTTTATTCAAACAACCGAAATCATTACGTCACACTGCTATTTTACTAGGGACAAGGTCAGAGCATTTATTATAAGTAGAAAGGAAAAAAGAAGTGCAGCTGGTTGTAAGAGCCCTCACTTCCCTTAGAGCAGTGACTTGCTGGCGACATATTAGAATCACCTGGGCAGCTTTTTAAAGTCCCAAGGGTCAGGCTACAGACCAGGCAAGTTAAATCAGACTCTCAGGGTAGCACTCGGCATTGCAGATTCTTTTATGTAAATGTTTTATTTTAGAACAGCTTCAGATTTATGGAAAATTGCTAACATAGTATAGCCATTTCCCATATTCCACACTTCAGTTTCCCCAGTTATTAACATCCTGCATTAGTATGGTATATTTGTTACAATTAAGGAGCCAATATTGACACATTATTATTATTAACTAAAGTCCACACTTTTTTCATATTCCCTCAGTTTTTTCCTAATTTCCTTTTTGTATTCCAGGATCCCATCTAGGATTTACATTTAGTTGTCGTGTCTCCTTAGGCTCTTCTTGGTTGTCACAGTTTCACTGACTTCCCTTGTTTTTGATGCCCTTGATGGTTTTGAGGAGTACTGGTCAGATATTTTGTAGAACGTCCCTCGATTGGGATTTGTCAGCTGTTTCCCTCATGACTGGACTGGGGTTACATGCTTGGGGAAGAAGACCACAGAGGTAGAGCCGTTCTCAATATGACATCACTACGGACGCTGATCCTCATTCGGCTGAGAGAGTGTTATCAGGTTTCTCTGGTATAAAGTTGCTCTTTGCTCCTCCCCTTTCTCATACTGTACTCTTTTGAAATAAGTCACTATGTTCAACTCCAACTTAAGACATGGGGAATTCTATTCCACCTCCCTGAGGGTATAGGATCTAAATAAAATGTTTAGAATTCTTTGGTACAGAAAATTTGTCTATTTTCCTTCATGTATTTATTCAATAATTGATTCATATCAGTATGGACTCATTTAGTTTCTACTTTGGATTTCAACCCTACACTACTTCATTTATTTTGCTGCTTACCATTTCCAGCCTTGGCCACTGGGAGCTCTTTCAGGTAGCTGTGTCCCTCTGACACATCCCCATCACTGCGTTGTTGTTTTTCTGAGCACTTTCTTTTCGGCACTATAAGATGCTCCAGGCTCATCTTGTTTATTTTCTACCCTAGTCCTAAAATCAGCCATTTATCCAAGTTCTGGTTCCTTTTGTTGGAGAATAATATTAGAAACCAAGATCTGGGGGCTAGGTATGCTCATTGCTACTGGGGTGTCATTGCCTCTAGGTCCTCTCAGGTGACAGAACAAGGAAGTACAAATATATGTACACTAACCCATGTATATACACATATCTATAAGTATTTCTATATATAACCATCTGTGTCTATATTAAGCTAACATGAGTCCATATTGATGTCTCCAACTCTAATCTGTTATCGCATGGATGATTCCAGCCTCCTCCTTTTACTTATTTGTAACCTCCAACCAAACTTGGCTCCCACCATTGTGCATGCATTTACTTAATTGTTGAATTTCAGTATGCATGTACAGCGGCATTAAAATCATTAATCTGTACTCCCCTGGGACATACCATTATCAACGAGGGTAGAGTGCTTACATACAGTTCATTTTGTCTTTAGTCTTACAGACTCCACTCATTTCTGAGATTACTTAGGTCAGCACCTTTTTTTCTCCACAGCCTTCAGTGAGGTTGTTTAACACATTTGTAGCACAGTTATATTGTTTTATCACAATTCTGCATTTCATCCTGGCATACCCAACATACTAAATGATTTTTTAAATTTGCATACATTAAGGTTCACTATTCTATAAAGTTCTATGGGTTTCTGACAAATGCATAATATCATGTGCCCACCATTACAGTTATCATACAGAATAGTTTCACTCTCTTAAATAATCCCCTGTGCTTCACTTATTTCAACCCTTTCCCATTTTCCCTAAGCTGCCATAGAACTAGAACAAATAATTTTAAAATTTGCATGGAAACATAAAAGACCCCTAATATCCGGAACAGTCTTGAGAAAGAACAGAGCTGGAGAAATCCCATCCCCGACTTCAGACTATACTACAAAGTTACAGTAATCAAAACAGTATGGTACTGGCATTAAAAACAGACACATATATCAAAGGAACAGAATAGAGAGCCCAGAAACAAACAAACAAGCCCACGCACTTATGGTCAATTAATCCACGACAAAAGATGCAAGAATATACAATGGAGAAAAGATGGTCTCTTCAATAAATGGTGCTGGGAAAACTGGACAGCTATGTGTAAAGGAAATTAGAACATTTTCTCACATCATGAATAAAAATAAACTCAAAATGGATTAAAGCCCTAAACATAAGACCCGAAACCATAAAACTCCTAGAAGAAAACATAGGCAGAACACTCTTTGACATAAATATTAGCAGTATTTTTTTTATCTGTCTCCTAAGGCAAACGAAACAAAAGCAAAAATAAACAAATGGGACCTAATTAAAAAGCTTTTGCACAGCAAAGGAAACCATCAACAAAACAAAAAGACAGATTACTGAATGGGAGAAAACATTTGCAAATGAGATGACCAATGAGGGGTTAGTATCCAAAATATATAAACAGCTCATACAACTCCATATCAAAAAACAACCTGATTACAAAATGGGCAGAAGAACTGAATAGACATTTTTCCAAAGAAGACACACAGAAAACCACAAATAACAAATACTGGTGAGGATGTGGAGAAAAGGGAACCCTAGTGAACTGTTGGTGGGAATGTAAATTGGTGCAGCCACTGTGGAAAACAACATGGAGGTTCCACAAAAAACTAAAAACAGAGTTGCCATATGATACAGCAATTCCACTCCTGGATATATATCTGAAGAAAATGAAAACACTAATTTGAAAAGATACATGCACCCCAATGTTCACAGCACCATTATTTACAATAGCCAAGATATGGAAGCTATCTAAGTATCCATCAACAGATGAATGGATAAAGAAGATTCAGTATATATAAAAACAATGGAATACTACTCAGCCATAAAAAAGGATAAATTTTGTAATTTGCAACAACAGGGATGGACCGAGATGGTATTATGCTTAGTGAAAAAAGTCAGACAGAGAAAGACAAACATTGTGTGTTATCACTTATATGTGGAATCTAAAAAATAAAACGAACTAGTGAATATAACAAAAAAGAAACAGACTCACAGATATAGAGAACTAGTGGTTACCACTGCAGAGTGGGGGAGGGGCAATACAGGGGTACAGGATTAAGAGGTACAAACTATGTATAAATTAAATAAGCTACAAGGATACATAGCACAGGGAATGTAGTCAACATCTTATAATAACTATAAATAGAGTATAAGCTATAAAAATTTTGAATCACTATGTTGTATACCTGAAACTAATATAATACTGTAAATCAACTATACCTCAATAAAAAATAAAATAAAATAAAAAACTTACTGGCAGGGTTTTGGTAAAAGCAACAGTTTGGAATACCCCAGCATAGGGATGAGCATGTAGCAATTGCCCAGTCAAAATGAGTTCCCTTTTCTCCATTTTAAATGCTTTCTTTTTTTTGTTTGTTTTGTTTGTTTCTTTCTTTTGCGGTATGCGGGCCTCTCACTGTCGTGGCCTCTCCCGTTACGGAGCACAGGCTCCGGACGCGCAGGCCCAGCGGCCATGGCTCACAGGCCCAGCCGCTCCGCGGCATGTGGGATCTTCCCGGACCGGGGCACGAACCCGCGTCCCCTGCATCGGCAGGCGGACTCTCAACCACTGCACCACCAGAGAAGCCCCTAAATGCTTTCTTGACTGTTTTCATGGTATACTCTTTGACCATTTTATTCCAAACATTATGAAGGACTGGCATAGTTATTATGAAATATCTCCCAATAGATGCATAAACATGCAAGATGGGTTATAATCTAGAGTTTTGCTTCTCTTGGCAACTGGCTACCTAGAATAAAGAAGTAAGCCTATTTGACAATCTTTTTTAGAAGGAAGTGATTCATGTTGAATCCACAGGAAGTTAATACTGGTCTATTTTTTAACTATTAGGGGAGGGGGTGAGAATTTACTAACTTCACGGAAACAATAATAAGTAGCAAATAGCACATATGATTAAAAAAAAGGGGGGTGAAGAAAGTGATGTGTTTTTTTTTTTTAACAAGGCAAACAGGAAAATAACCAGGAAGAACATTTTTTTGAAGCAACAATGGACCTTTTTATGATGACACCTTTGTACTTTTAAATTTCTGGACCCACATACAGGCAAGCAAGCAAGCGACAACAGAACTAAAAGCCAGAAAAGGTGAAAAGAGGGAAAAATAAAAGAACTGCATTTATCAAGTCTTTATGCTCCAGGCACGCTAGGAATTACACACGTTTAAATTATTTAATCCTCATGACATATTTATACCATTCTCACTTTATAGATGAGAACTGAGGACTCAGAAAGCCTAAGTAACTTGCCACATATGGTTCACATGGCAGAGACAGGAAGCCAAGTGTGCCTCAAATCCAAGCTGTCTAGTCCCATCTCAAAATCATTGTACCATAAAGCTCTAACTCTTTAATTTCTGAAAAG